TGGGATTAATTGTTTTACATTAGAAGTACACTAAAAAAGAATATCATACATATTGTAAAACCTACAGACAGGATATCAAGCAAGCTAGGGAAGCTGATAATCAACTTTGTTGCTATTCATTTGACTTTCAGCAAGTCGTAGAAATTCCTAAAATACTGCAGCATTTTTCTAGGTAGTACTACTGGTAACCATTTAAGCACTATGTACTTGGAATTATGGATGATAGGATTGAGTATTATTATCATACTATGCATACAGAAGCACAGTATGGAAAAGAGGTAAATCAGGACATATCTCTTCTGTATCTCTTTCTATCATCTATAAACAAGCAGAAACCTGACATATATTTATAGGCAAATAACTGTAGATGACAAAACAAAACAAAAACATTGCTGTAGTATCTCTGTTGATTTGTTTTCATACAGAAGATAAGTTCAATTACTTTAGAATTTTAAATTAAAGATCATACATATAATAGTATTGATCATAGATTTGGAACTATAAAGCAAAACGCAAATAGGGGTTCAGTATAAATACTTGAGGAATATGCAGTAGTGGCTGACTCAGCCAATAAGAATCAGAAGATTAAGGCAATTTGTCTCTTTGATGATCCTCCAGGTAGTGTTTTTGGAGATTGTGATAAAGTACTAGCAGTATATTTAAAGTTATAAAAAAGTATTCAAGGTTTTCAGTTTATTTAGTTTAGTGCTAATCACCATGTATTATGGAGGCTAAAAGACTGTTAGATTAACCATGGATAAAGTTTAACCTTTGTAGGTAGGGTTTCAATCTTGAGTCTTTTTGTTAGATTTCTCTATTACCAATGCCAGAAACTGAGTTCATTCCAGAAAAGTGCTATGATCTTTGGCATAAATATTCCTCTTATACTCCCTTAGTGTATCTAAAAAAGTAATTATATTCTGAGTTTAAATATAAACTAATTGCAGCAGTTAGGGAAAAGAAAAACCTACAAGCCCAGAGTGTCTAAAAGGCTAGAGGTGTAGGAAATAATAATACTAATCAGACAAAGTAGATGAATAGTAAAACAGAAAATAATATATTGCAAGAGGCCAATACCTTATCAGTCAAGTGTAGAGGTCATGAATATCTACATAATTCTAAAAATAAAAGGAAAAAGCAATATGTTTTCTTTATTGTTAAACTTATCAATATTTAGCCTAAATTCAATAATATTTTACTCTTATATTATTATAATCTACACTAAAATCACTACTACTATATTTTATCTCTAATAATAATCAAGGTAGAGTTCCTAAGTAATATATTTGTCATTCAGATAATATCTTACTTTTATAAATGTATTAGATTGAAAAAATATATAAGTTTTTGGATGAAAAGACTATTTGATTAAAGAGTACTAAATCTGACTCCGAAAAATATCAATGTAGACTTCTTAATATTATTACTAATAGAGTACCTCAGATTTTTCCTATTCTCATTTTTAATGTATTAAGTAGATCAAGAATATAGCAATGAGAATCACATCTTTGAGATAAACAGGTTTATGTAGAATTTACTCATAGAGGTTAAATAAATGAAGCTTTACTCAATTAATTTATTATATAGTTTCTAGTATCATAATTTGAAACTTCTAAAACAGAGACACTTCCCCCTTTGTTGATAAACCTACAATTCTGAAATTTATATTAAATACTTTATATTTGATAATCTGATTATTAGTAATTAGGCATGTTTAGAGGTTGTGAATACAATTAGTTTTGGTACCTTAGAAATTAAAGAATAGTATATTTGTTTTCCAGATTTTCTGCAGAAGCTGAAACTATTAAATTTACTCTTCTTAATAAATGATTTTTAGAATTTTTATATGTTTTTTTTTCTTTCTTCAATTTTTCTCCTCTATATAAGATACAGGTTGATAGGAATCATGTAAGCATTCCTCTTAGTAATACTCTCTATCTCCAGTGTGATTAATATAGTATAGTACATAAATATAGTCTACAATCACTCAGATGTAATATATAAGTATTAAACTATCATGATAGACAGAAAGTTAATATGAAAATATTTTGTACTCTTAAGTAAACTTAATAAGTTATATTATTATAAGCCTTCCTAGATAAATTTTTATCAAAATCAAATATTATTAGTTTTAACTAATTTTCATATAGTTTAAAATTAACTACTACTTATTAGCAGATAGAATATCACTAATTGTATATAATTCAAAAAAAAGAGAAAAATTACTAAACTAACAGTAACCTATAGGCTGTTTTTATATATGTTACGGTGTGTTTCCAATCTTCTGCTGAGAAAATATGGATTGATAAACTTGTAAATACTAAGTAAGCCTATCAAAAATAGGAAAATAGAAATATTATACTAATAAAAATTTAATCTGAATACATAAATCTTATAAATAGATTTAACTTTTAAGTAAAACAGTAAAGAGAAAGAGAAAGAGAAGAAGCTAATTATTACTTCTATGTAAAAGCTATTATAAGGTAAGAAGATAAGATACAAAATGATAATATTATTAGAAAATTTTAAGCAATAGTATTTAAAAGTCAATCATCTAAAAAACAGAAAAAAATGAGTATGAACTCTTTAATTATATGACTTCCTGACCTTACTATATAAACCTCCTCCTGTTATCTTAAACCTATATTTATCATACCTATAAGTTTTATATTCTGATTTTAAACACATGACTCACACAAAGAAGTTATTTTATAATACTTACAACTCACTTATCATGTGTCATACTACTACATACTAATCAAATAACTCATATCACCTTAAACCTAGTACATGTTTAATCATAATAGTAAGTAACTACTGTAACAAAGAGTACGTCCTGATGTCTACGTTAACTATACTGCAGAATACCCTATCTACTCAAACGCAGGAGATCTCTCCAGAACTCTGCGGTTCCCGCTCCTGGCAGATCACTCTTGAAATCCAATGGATTCGAGCACTATATTTTGGGCGTTTAATATAGCCAAGTGGAAAAGCTGGATTTCTATGTTCTTGTGCAATTCTCGTGTATTCAATCGAATCGGTGTTGCCGCCCCACGCCCAGTTTATTGTCCGCTTTTGTGATCGTTGTTTCCCACTTCAGCCTGTGAGATCACTAAATGCTTGACCCTTGTGCCATAGGAACAATTACCACAGTTGCAATCTATCTTGGATGTTTCGTTTCGTAATTATTCCTTGCTCACTAATCCACTGACTCGGCCCACCTTTTCACTTGCCCCGCGTGCTTCTGGATGGGGAAGGCGCTAGAGTAGAAAATTGAGAAGGGCCCCAAATAAAGTGAAAAAAGGAGAGCACCTGGTCGCACTGACGGTACTTTTGATGATGGTGATGGCACTTGTAGTGATGAGGGTGTCGGACAGTCTAGGACGCATACCGGTACTCTACCTCTCGCAGCTAACAAGTATACTCGTACAGGCACAGATTATCACGATACCACCCTCTCTACCGCTTTCGTGGGCGGAGCAACCGTAGAACAAAGGCAAGGGTCGCTGCCTCTCTGTATTGTATTATACGCGTGCGCATAGCAATGTGCGATGGGGCTTGAAGAGAAACAGAAAAACAAACAAACAAAAAAAAAAAAAAAAGACAAATTGATGACCCACGGAAAACAAAAAGGAATCAAAAATGTCAAAGCGCGAGAAAGTGAAAACAAAAAAAATAAAATAAGAAAACCGAACCAACAGGTTGGGTTTGGTATTGTCAAGCACCCGCACTAGTCTTTGTTAGGGACTTTCGCCTCTTTTTTCCCGGTAACTTGGTTAGCTAAGGATGGGAAAGGATCAAAGCAGAATAGCTACGAGACCTTTATGTCACAGGTAGAGAAAGCCGCTCGATTCGATTCGACTTCAGCTCTCATATTTTATTTTAGCACCCCACCTTTGTCCTCTTTGGGACTCCTGTTACAAAGGGAATGGAAGGAAATGAAATGACAGATTTCCGGGCTGGACAAAGTGAGAGAGAGTGAGAGATGGTTACATCCAGCAGGGATCTGGAGCTTTGCAGGGTTTATGGGGAGATAGATATGGAAATGCTGAGGAAGAAGTGAGAGAAAACTCAAAGAGGCCGGCTTGTGGATGTTCCCCGAGTTTCTGGACCTAAACAAATCGGACACCCCTAGATTTGAACAGGGAAGTGATGCTTGGTTTGCAAGGGGGAGATGATTTCTAGTTTGGGGGACAGAAGCTTTTTTCTTCTTTCTCCATACTGAGGTTTTTCCCTCGGGATCTTGTGCCCTCTCTGCTTCCAATTATTTTTCGATGGGGGAGACTACTGGCATCTATGTACCGCAACTGTATCTATGCTTTATTAACATGGTAGATCGATGGATCGATACAGTTACATGGGGTCACTTGATGTATTGTAGTGGGGAAAAGGAACGAGAAACGAGAAGCGGCTGTGAGCATCTTCTCTGCGAATGAATGAATGAATGACTGGATGAATGAGTCCACTGTATCATATTGTCACCGCTGCTCCATTCCGTCCATTTCATTCCAACCGCAAGGGTAGATCCATTCTACGCAACTTTGCTTGCCTTCTTGTGGGTTTCTTCTGTATGTATCGCTCTCGAAAGGGACTGTTTGCTTGCTAAGGTTGCCGTCTGACGTATCATATCAGCTGGGCGATCTGATTCCAAGGAAACCAGAGGGTCGAGGACGTACTGTAATTTCGGTACGTAGAAGCAATCATGGAGCCGCAAATCTACAAATTCAGCGATTGGGGCTTGGTAAAGGAATCAAGCAAGCAAAAGTGTCAGCTTCGAGGGGAGGGGAGGCGAGTGAAGGAGGGAGGGAGGGAGGGTGGTGAAAGGTGTGGGTCCTCGGACCCGCCTTCGAACCATCACCCCTTCTTATTGCTCTTGGTATGCGCGGACTTGGGCTATGGTGCTCCAAGAGTTAGAGCCTACCTAAGGTACGCATACCTCCAAAGGTATAATAAGTAGCCCACCCTCCGGAGGTCGAGATTTTTCGGTTCAACAACGTTCACTACCTCCTTCGTCTAGACAAACTATCACAGCAATCGCCTTCCTTCCATCATACATAAAACATCTTTCTTTTACCCTCCGCTGCCACAGACAAGACAAGTACCAATCCTAACCTTTTCTTTAACTTCTATCTTGCATTTCTTCCAAAAGGGCGATATCCAACCTATAAAACCTCCCTTGCATTCCTTCTTCCCCTACAAACAAGAGACAATGGCGATCCCCGGATACTGTCACCATAGCTTCAAGATCATCAAGAGCGAAAACACCCTTCTACTCTGGAATTGCGGAATGTGTGCGTCAGGTCCTCACTGGTTTATCTTTGAGTGCAAGTTTTGTAGACTCAAAACCTGCCGTCCATGCACCTATAACGCATGAAAACGAACAGGGTCCGGGGGGACACACGGCGAGGTTGAGAGTGACGAGGACGAGGGCGAGAAGACGAGATAGGGGGGGAAGTGAAGCGGGAGAACACGAGGGATTGGGCGGGATAAGCTTATGGGCGGTCTGGGTGTTGCAGGCGGAGAGTTGAGGCATCATCAACTGGCAACGATGGTTGAAGCGGTGGTGGGGATGTCAGCGGTGGAGCGAATATCTACCTTGCTCCCGGCACAAGGACGGTGTACGAGAACAACTACCCTTACAATTACCTCATTTAATACCTCTTACTCATCATCTTACACATGGGACGGCTTTCGGCAAACCGGGTTTCTGCTCTTTTGTATAATTATCTGGGGCGTTCACATTCTTTTTCTCTTTCTTTCTCTTACCACTCCTTTCTCTTTCCTTTTTCACTTTTAAGGAAGGGGTGATGGGTTATTATTATAGATTTGGTTATGTCTAACGGCGCTGGGAGGATTAATCCTACTTTATCTGTTTGCTCGCACATTTTGCTTTGTCTGTGGGGGGTATCTTATTAGAGGCTTTTTCTTTTCTTTACTTTTTTCTTTTCTTCGTTTTAAAAGAGAGTCCTGGTCACGGCTTAATGGAGGGGGGGGGGGGTTGGAGGGTGTTGAATTGGTTTTGAAAAGGAAAAAAAAAAAAATATTATTACTCACCTCATTTGTTCCCTCTGTCGAATCCTTTGAAGAAAGAGCGCCATGATCCGGCTAGAGAGAAGACGGGCACCTGGTGAGCCTGCTTTTTTAGTACTTGCGCTTTTGGGGTATTGGGGGACTAGACCATTGATTGGTGTTACTAAGGTGTACCTCCCAATGCGAAATTCCGTTGCGTATTACAAGCCACTCTATTCTCCTATATGGTAATGCTCGAGCGCATCACTCCGGGTGACGGTAAATAACGTTCTGATAGAGGGGGCTTGAAAATGAAGCAATAGGTAGGATACTTACGATACGCTGATAGTCTAACGCATTGGCCATGCCGCTACTTTATGCACAAGGTTGAATAATCCCAGTCTGTCATTTTTGTGCTTTTCACCTTTTTTCCTTTTCCTTCCATTCTTTCACTCCTTCTTCCCTCCTGTGGTGCTCCCTTGGTCCCTGTCATGCCCCCAGTTAAACATGCAGGCCCCATATGCAACGCCATCTTCGCATCCGAGTATTCGGTATTCAAGTTTAGAGATCATCTGCAGCCCGAGTGCCTTCCACCCTTTCGCTCCTGGTCTCCACACTGCACTTCTTTTTGCTTGGTCAGGCTCTGTTGGCACAGATACTTTGCTAACTAGATGGCCACAGAAGAAGGGAATTGACGCCCCAGTATTGCACGGTACCCACCGGTACCAATCTACCCGTGCTTTACAGTGCCAATAGTGTGAATGCGATTAAATCTTGTGCTTCGGCATTGTCATTGTAGTGCTCTCTACTCGAGCAGGGCGCGCGTGCGTGAGTAGCCTCCCCGGGGCAGCACTGTACTTGTACATTTATCCTCCCGCCCCGCCCGCCCTGCTACTCGTGTGCGATACAATACTGCAGGTCTCCTTCTCGGCCGCCTGGTCTCGAACACCATTGGCAAACAAAAGGCCATGGAATATTGAGGAAGGGTAAAACTAATATTCACTTTCCACGAGCACCGGCACCGGCACCAGCACCATCCCATCACCACCGCGATGTGCCACATTCTCAGAATTACACTTAGACTATTTGTTGGACCGAGGCTTACCCGCGAGACGCTGTTGCTCACTAAGGCTCTAGGTGAGCGTCCCCCTTCCCAACAGTTATTCACACTCACTCGCTCCCTCAATAAATAAGTAGATAGGTAAATGAACAGGTAAGTAAATAGGGAACAGCCTTGGAAATAACGAATCCGTCCTTCCACATGAGGGTGCCATACTCGTTTCTGAATAAATATGCCCCTCGAAGGATTTGGATTTCTTTTCCGACCAGCAAAAGCAGTAACCCTAGCTTTCTCTGACAACTCAGCGACGACCGCATCTTCGTGCAACCGCTGTGACAACACACAAGCAAACCTCTGACCGGCTACATGACAATTTTTTCGAGCCCTGTCATTACTCGGTCCAATCCCCCTTCGCCAAGCACGATGAAGAAGAGGAAGAGGAAGAGGAATGAAGTTAAATGAAAAAATTCCAAAAGCGAAAGAAGCGATAGATATCCCTGGTCCTTTTTTATATTTTTTTTTGTCTCCGGTCTGGAGTTTTTCCTCCAAATATTTCCTCCTTTTGAGGGCGTTTCAGGTCGGTAGCATACGTCACTTTTTCGTCTCTTTGTGTGCTTGTATGTATGCATGCAAAATAAATGTTGACACGTCGTTACTTTTCGTCTCCAGAATATTTCTCGGCCTCCTTCCTCCCTCCCTCAGCAATTTTTCATAGTAAATCTAATTATTGTTATAGAAGAGTGATTCCGATTCCCGAGCCCTTGGTTAGCTTACAAGATCTGTGCTCATCACCTGCGAGCCTGTATGACACGTCTTTGGCATTTGCTGCATTCTTCCAGAGTTAGGAGCCTCGAACACCTGTTCATCCCGGATATTGCATCGACTGCATCGATTCGCACATGGTTGATTGGCTCCCTTCCTTCTTGTGGGAGAAGTGCCCTTCACAACGACCATTTTCCGATCTTTTTTGTGTCACTCTTTTCGAGAGAAGCAGCTATAACGGTACAAAGGATACCCATTGCTTCCCTACCGCTTCTATTCGTCGGATATGGATTATCGATGGATCAGTACTGTACCGTACAGCCTCCACGTTAAGTCGAATAAATGCTCCCCGTTGTGCGAAACAACTTCATATTGCATGGCATCCTGCAGATTATGCCGAAATTCTGGGGACCCCACTTTGTCTGGATATCTTGTTTTGAGACGTCCTTAGATGTCATTGAATCTGTGGGTTTTCACTGAATAGGCTTTCCGGGACACTCCTTTGGCACTCAGTGATTCGACCATAAAAACATACCTGACCCTTAAATTTCGTTTTGGTGGCTCTTTCTGTTTGAAAATTGGTTGTAATATTGGTATTATGAAGTGAGTGGAAGAAGAAAAAGGAAAAAAGGGAAGAAGGAAATCGCGCCTATCTAAACGGTTTACCTATCCATGAGTTCATAGATGCCTTTACGTTCCAATAGTGAAGTCAACCCATTCAAGCTCCGGGGGGGCTACTAGCTGAAGACCTACCAACCCGCTCTTGACACGAGAACCGCGTATATATAGCGAAGTGGCGGTCCACAGCATCGCTCTCCTAGCCTCCCGGCGGCCATTGCGATTAATCTTTGCCTGAGATAACCTTCGGCATGTGCGTGAGAGAGAGAGAGGGAGAAAAAAGAAGACAATGCACCCCGCAAATGTTTTGTATTGGTATCAAGCTAATGAGGATCCGTGCACTTTGAAATTCAGCTGCTGCAAGCGTCGAGTAATGGAACCCATACATCAATGAGCGCACCGTGCCTTCTTACCGACCACATCCTCTCACGAGACACCGATCCTCCGTGCATGTCGTGACTCGAGTACGCTCGGGCGGTCCTTGCCCTCGCCGGATTGGCAACCTCGGTGTGATGTGCAAGGATATCAACTCCGGACCACGGAGAGGATACGCTTGCTCGGCGGGGCACTGGAGTACTGATGGCATGGTGGAGTGCTGCATCTGACCAATTAGTGAGCCGAGATATAATCCCGGAGTCTCTTGGGCCTAGCATCATCGCCCTGCCGCCCCGACCCTGGCTGGTGCTCTAGCAAGAGTTAACGTCAAATCATGCGCCGTCACTCGGGGTTTCTTAGTAAAAGGATTTACTGGTGGAACCTCGATGTCCCAGGCCGCGATAGCACTCGGGCGGGGTTCAAGCGGGTAGATACATCACTTCGCCACGATAAACGGGCGGGTTCAAATTACCACAGGTAGTATCAAAGTCCCCAATATCGGGCGGGGCCTACGTTTGTGGGCTCCTCGAGGAACAGGGAAAGCAGAGTATAGGGAAGGAAGGCTTGGTGCAGCGGGACCTAACATACATCGACAGGCTATCCCACAGTCTTTGCGAGGATTTGGGCCAGCCTTTGGGCCAGCCTAGCTCGAAACTTGCAGACGGACAGCAGTTTGCCATCATAAGAACCCAGCGAGTCATTGCCGTTTCCAGAGCACACCATTGAGCCTGAGTCACAGCTTTGCTGCCCCTTTCTGTTTCATGAGTTTTTATTGGATTGGCTGATCCACCCCGGGGACTGAGTGCCCTCCTGGGTGTAGTCGCCGAACTGTGCGATATAGTGCCCTGAGAGCCTTGTTTTTCGTGAAGACGGGTCGAAATGAGACAAATTCCTAGGGCTTGCGTAGCAGCTGGGCATATCCAGCGATTATCTACCTTGATTCGTCCTCGGGGATTCGCCTAGTGGCTCGCCTGCACTAGATGCAATAATCCAGCTTCGAGTGGAACTTGTGCCGTGCACAATCCTGTTGCATCCTACATGGGTGGGGGTTAGTTTGGAATATCATGGATTATCACTCGTGATTTGCTTGCTGGTGGTGTCGAACATTCTGTTGGCTGATCATCTTGAGCGTCTAGTAGAGGTGGATAGCCACATATGTGTGCTTGGTGAGGTTGTAGAGAATTTCCTCTGACCTCGATATTACGATGGGCTGTCATGTGGGTGCTTTTTTTGTCCACAAGTCGTGAAGTTAGAGCTCGGTGGTGGCAGATCGGTTACTTGTTTCATTGACAGCTAGCGGCAAACCATTTAGTCCCCCAATGGGTTTGGTACTTTGACATCCGACCGGCAAAGTGTCCTTAGTTAGGTGACCAGACCTCCCGCACAGAGCATAGTATTTCCTGTCTGGAAACAATTCATCTAGCAGTTTTACCGTGGGCGGGGTTGGTCGGGTCGGTGGTGTTCGGGGGCATTACGCCCTTCTAAAGCGGGATTTTTAAATAGATAGAAGGCTGAGACGGGTCTCAATAGAAGCTAGATCCTTGTTGAGATGTCCCTGGGGTCCATCCGAGAACCCGAGGTCGGCCGTCCTTGTCTCAGGATTAGGAGAACTTTCTTCGATTGGTGGGGGCGGCGCCTGCGCGCGGGGGGCTTGTTGTCAGATCAGAAGGGCTCGACCGATCGTTCACAGGCGTAAGCTTTATACTAAATCAGGCTCCTCCGTCTACAGGGCATCTTCGATGGGTACCGGTGCAGAACTCTGTTGCTATGTCATCTTACGTGACAGTCAATACTCCACTATCTCCATCGTTATTCGTGCATTGTATATGTTTTTAGTTACTGCCGCCCGGGAGCTTTCATAACATTCCACTAGAAGGTGTTTTAGCTGCAATGACAAAATGCGGGGTGGCCCCGGTAGTGCGAGTGTATGGTCTACAAATAGCACCGACCCCTTTGCTCATCTCGGATAAGAAATGGGTCTCATGATATCTCACTCGAATCTTTCTCTTCTTTCTTTCTCAGCCCTTCTACGCCCTTCCGTTGCCGATGCACAGTTAGGGGGATTTGATGCGAATAGTCTTCAGCGCGCTTGATGTGTTCGCAGGGTTGAATTTCCGGGGCACCGAAGTGCTTTTTTCAACAGGACTGCTATTGCATAAGACAAAGTTGTGACCTTTTTGCTTGCATCGGGACGGCATGCTATAGAAAGTTCTTTCTAGGGTGATTAGATCCTTTATTATGATACCGGTATGGCCCGTGGAGGTGTTGGCATTTCGGAACTGCTCTCAATCTACCCACGATTGGGGCCTGCCGAGTTTGCCTTGGCGGAATTGGCATGCATCTCGCTATCACACTTTTATAGGTCTTCGTTACTTGGGGTTCTCTTTCTCTTTGCATGCAGGGCTTCCGATACAAGTTGTCCAATTGGTGTGGGGTGGTGCTCCGGGTGGGACCGTCTCGGTTGATTGGGGTTTCATCCCGCTTAGGAAGGGTTGGTGGCCCTGTGAGTCTGTGATTTTTCGTGAATATTACTGGCGCCGTGGGTAGGGGGTGGATTGTTTGGGATATTGGTCCGTGGGCTTTTTGAACCTCTTTCACGATGTAGCGAGCTGCGCGGAGGGAATAGAATGGGTGCATGAAAGAAATTTTTGTGAAACTATACGTTTGGGATTCTGGGGGCATATATTTGGAATTAAGGTCATAATATGGTATTCTTTATCATATCATACCATGGAGTCTATGTTGTACACAATAGGGTGAAAGCCACTTACTTACAAGCTATGCCTAATCTAATAGCGCCCAAGTTAGAACTCAAATATTTTGTCAAGGAATCTCCCAAGTATAACTTTAAAGCCTTGGGGTGGGAGTTGTCTCGAGTATTGAAGGTCCCATTTGCCACCCTATAAGAGTATCAGGTACCCCGAGGCTGGTACTCGTACTGTACAGTGCGGCCCTTGGTTCAAATTTTTGGTGAATTAGGAAAAATTGTGGCACTGTGGGCGCTAGTAGGTTGTTGAATTGAGAGATGTCTTCTTGGACTTTGAGAATACCTCAGCAGCGCCTGCGTCTTACCGCACTGTTCATTCCGTGGTCCGAGAGTTCAGGGTCTTATGTTGGCCTCTTGTTCCCCCCGGGTCAAGTGGGTGACAGAGGATTTGCACTATTTCCTATAAAGGGGATAATTTAAGTGGCGGACTATGATACCCTAGGTGCCTTCTAGAGAAAATTTCGGCGGCATTCAATGTGATATGGCCTAGATAACGGCAAGTACTGAACTGTATAATGCTTGGGTAGGATGTCGGTACCCGGGTACAGGCAAAAAGGGCAGCAATGCGGAGGGCGTGATATAAAGAGAGCGTTTAGGATACTCTCGATAAGCATTGTACCGGTATTAATATGACTGAGTGATTATAGTGGTAACTTTTCCTACCCTACAGTACGGTGCCGAGCAGGTAATACTGAAGGAAGATCGAAGGAACTGAGACCCAAAGAACAAGAAGCCTTTTCTATGATCGTATCTTCGGCATTATCGTAGTGAGCTCACATTCTTGTCCGGAATTCCGTGCTCTGCCATCCAACCAAAGGTGAGTATATTTTTCTCGAAGGAGTCTACCTGCAGTAGATTGTGAACGAATCGATTTTGGAGATGCCCTTTGATCGTTATTGTGATTGATGGATGATGGATCGCAAACTGCAGCTCTCCATGTCAGGACCGGGAAAGTTGACAGGGTAGTCAGCTGACGAATCTTGGCATCCACAAGACATGAAAATCCCCCACCCATTGCTAACTCTATCTCCAAAAACACCACTTCTTCTTTTCTTCCCCACGTCCTCCTCTCATCGCCTACATTATTTTAGAACAACCTCCCACTATTAACGCTAGGCACTTCTATTTCCTCAATTCGTCTGAGCGGTTAATAGATACAGATTCCGTAACGATCAAATTATTTCCTCCCTCCCTCGTCATGCGCCGGGTCAAAATCTTCTCTGGCACGAGCCATCCCGGTCTAACAGAGGCCATTTGCGAGCGTCTCGGGACAACACTGGGGAAGTGTGATCTCAAGAAGTTCTCCAATGGTGAGACAAGTGTCGATATTGGTTGCTCAATTCGAGACCAGGATGTCTTCATTGTTCAGAGCGGGAGTGCAAAGTGAGTTTTCCGTCATTTTTTCCCGTCGTTAATTCTTTACCAGAACACTGATTGTTGAGAGGAACCCTTTGAAAATAGGGCCAATGATAGCATTATGGAATTGTTGATTCTTATATCTGCTTGCAAAGGCGGATCGGCTAATAAAATAACGGGTATGACTGCTCTCTTCTACGCAACCTATCAATCTAGCTGACTTTATTTTTAGCTGTGATGCCTTATTTCCCCTATTCTAAACAATCTAAGAAGAAATCTCATCGAGGAGCTATCACTGCTAGAAGTTTGTTCCCCCATTCGTTTTTGCATTTTTATCGGATAGTTGCTGGGAGGGAATCTGACGGATACCGGTCGATAGTGCTAGCGAATTTGCTTACGGTTGCCGGGGTCGATCATGTCATCACTGTGGATCTCCATGCTTCCCAAATGCAAGGCTTTTTCACGAAGCCTGTGGATAACCTATATGCGGAGCCGCTTCTTGCGAGGTGGATTAGACATACCGTTCCTAATTGGCGTGATTCGGTTGTTGTATCGAAGAATCCGGGCGGGACTAAGAGAGTGACTCAGTTAGCAGATGTCTTGAAGTTAAATTTTGCCCTGATCACGACGGATCGAAGGCGCAAAGAGGGTTGGGCAAGCTCTCGTTTCCAGAGCCATAGGCATTCCCCAGTTGAGAGCGTCAACGGCGAATCTGAAGAGAAAGATAAGCAACAGTTTACTGCGGCAGAGGTTGATGGGGCTGTCGCGATCTCCAATATGCGGATTCGCGATGCCCCTGAGGATGCGGCCGTTGATTTTGGCGCTACTCCGCGGGCAGTTGCTCCTATATCTGGCCTAGGCATTAGCGCTGCGCCCGCTTCACCGCCTTCTCGTCCTACAAGTTCCAACCACTCAAATTCTCTACCCCCTCATCCACAGGACGACTTTGATGATGATTATACTGATGATCATGCTCAATCTGTCACTTATGGACGCCTCATCCAAGGCCACATTGTTGATGATGATTATCCATCTCCTTCCCCCTCGATCATTGCATCTACTACCCATGGCGATACCGATCACATGATGTCCTCAATTCACTCTCTTGCTTCATTGCACGGTGACGGGGCCCTTGGTGGTTCTATCGATGCCAATGACACAGACGAGGAGGAAGATGCTGACCAGATTCCGGGAAACGAAAAGATGATAACACTTGTCGGTGAGGTCCGCAGAAAAACAGTTCTCATTGTGGATGATATGATTGATCGTGCTGGATCGTGGATCTCTGCGGCAGAGCATGTTAAACTGAGGGGTGGTGCTAAGAAGGTTATTTGCATCGCGACGCATGGTGTATTCGGTGGAAATTGCCTTAAGGAAATGGAGGACTGCAGTTGTATCGATCAAATAGTCGTCACTAATAGTTTTCCCATTCCGGAGGACAAGAGGAAAGGGGTTAAAAAGCTTGTCACTATTGATCTGAGCCAGCTTCTTAGTGAAGCGATCCGCAGAAATCACCATGGTAAGTTTATCCCCCATTACTTGGTAGAGTGAGAGTCATTAACTAACGTGCCACTTTCAGGGGAGAGTATCTCTGCTCTGTTTCAGCATTATTCAGATTAATTTTTCGTTTTGCTTAAACATTTTCTCTTGTTGGTGTATCCAAGGATGCGGGTTTTAGGTGGGAGTTTTCATGGCGTGATTTCTTTCCGTTTTTCATTGACCCCAATTATTGGCTATCCGAATCTCAAAAAGCACAAGTCGTGGGGGGACTGTTTTCATTCCTGAATATAATCTTTAAGCGTGGTGTTTGGATAACGGGGTCTATACTTTTTTCTTTTCCTTTCGTTTGGGCTGGGGTTGGTGGGTTTATCTTGTTTGGGATCTGCAATGTCAAGGTCCGTAGCTTCCACCCCCGAGACGGTGTGCTCCTTCTAGGCCACGATATAGACTACATCAGATTCTTGTCAATTAATAGAAACAAGGGAAGTTCTGTTCAGGCAGTCCTGCTATGAAGTGGCTGTTTAATTTTTAATTTTTCACGTGAGATACAAGTCTAGCGATACAAACTTAAGGCTGTAGGAATCTAGTTTTTCTAAATAATGAACCTGGGAGTTTTTTTTTTTTTGCTTATCAAACTGCAGGCATAAGTAGAGTATATACCCATGAACTTTAAAAAATCTTTTTACGTTTTAAACCATGATATCTGTCGCATATTCTAGGCCTAGAAATGTGAAAAATTAGTAAAATTACTTTCCTTATACTAAAAATACTGTTTGTTAATGCTGTACTGTACCCGTGGAATTAAAGCCTACATTCATAAAACTACTAATTATTGTAGACTATAGAGATAGACATACTTTTTACATAAAAGTGACAATTTTTCATGTATGTTTCTGATCAAAATTTAAGAATTTTTAAAATCTATTATTACTTTTTATCAATAAGTTGGTTTTTATATTATAGTACTGCTTTCACAATTTTCATATTTTTTTTAAATAAATAAATATTTAATTGAGATTTTTCTCTGAATCAAACATACTACTCTGACAACCATTTCATACTATCTAGAATTCCAGCAATATTGTCCAGTATATTTTACAAATAAGAGTTGACTGGTACTTTTTTACTCAATATTCACAGACTATTAAGTTAGAATAAATTAACCAAGGTAGGTTGAGTAGTAAAACTAATATATATTTAAAAAGTCAATTCTTTATGATTTTTAAGTTTATTCTTATCTAAACTCTTTTTCTCAATTTAATTATATTTCTATGTACTTAATACATTTACCTAGTCTAAGTAGTTATTATGTTGTTTCATTCTTCATTGATAACTACCTAACTGTTAGGTAGGAGTTAACTGAAATAGATATTGAGAGAGTTTAGAGCCTGAATTTTTAATATAAATGTAAATATATCTAGAAAGGCTTAGTAAGTACATTTAATATATATAGCTACTAGGAACTTATATAAGAAAAAGAGTAAAATAAACTATAAGAATTCAAATGAGAAGTTTTTATTCTTATTATTAAGATATTGTCTCTATTACTTATAATATCTGTAAAGTTTCTAATTAGAAGATACTTTGATATTTATATTGATTTTCTGTTTAAGTATTTACAGACTATATCTATTAGTTATAAAATTAAAGTACTTATTGATTCTAAGATTATATATAGATAGAATTAGTCATGTGTAATAGTGCACCAAATTGTTAGGAATACTAGGATCTGATACCCAGGAACCACCCTAAGTAGAGTAACCCCACTTGGAATCAGAATCTCTCATCTCTAATACCACCCTCTAGCTCCCTTACGGGGCCCACATGTCATCATACATATCAATTTCAGTTACATAGCTCAATTGGACTATCATGTGACTTATTTCCAAGGGTCATGTGTTCAACTCCTGTTGTGATCATAGTTATTTTATGTATTGAGTTATTTTCTACCAATACTACTTGCAACTATAAGGCTCCTGTCATGAATGTGGCTTGGTGAGGAAAGGGTTTTCACGTGACACATAGTTATGAGTCACAGGTATGTTATTGTTTCACACATATGACTCATTCGAGTCATATGATTTGTTATATGTGGGATTTGTAATGCTTTCACACATGGCTCAAATATGAGTCATGAGACGTGCACCTGATGAGTATGCCTTGCGAGTGCAGCTGGTGAGTGTGCCTTGCAAGTATGCCTTGTGGGTAGGCCTTGCGCATATGATTTATGTTTCGCACATGACCTCGTTATAAGGTCATGGGTTTCACGCATATGACTCAGTCGAGTCATATAACTTGTTTATTGTGTTATGATTTGTTTATAAGTTTTTGCACATGACCTCGCTATGAGGTCACGGGTTTTGAGCATGTGACCACTTTGGTCACATGACTAGTTTGTTATGACTTGGTTTCGCACATGTGACCACTTTGGATCACATGACTACAGGCAGGAAGAACACTATATAAGGAGGCCGATGCAGCCAAGGAGGATAGGTTCTTCACGCTTTGTTCTAAGTACTTTTCCTACTTCTTGCACTCCGTGTCGGAAGTGAGCATAACCAATACTGGACCTTATTTCGCTCGCGATAAATACTTCATCTACTGTTACTTGTTTGTGTTTTTCGTTTCGGGCGGTCGGTTAGAAGTTGTTGTTCTCGCTTAGAAGATACTTCAGTGTGAGATATCCGTGGCCTGGTCCCGGTAATCACTGAGTATAGTTTGGGCGAGGATGGCGTCTTCGACAGCCTCCTCCTCCACGGATTCTCCCCCCCCCTCGAGGATGTCGTCCCCCGTCCGGTTCGACTCCAACCCCTCCTCCTCACTTGAGACAGCCCGTGCGGCCCTGTCTCTTGCGCCTGCTACTGAGGCTGACCGTGGCCTCATCCCTACCACCACGCGGTCTTATGTTGCACCCAGGGGAAACTTTAAGTTTTTACAGTTCCACCACTGCCACGGGTGTCAAAACGCTGTTAACCCGCAGTTTGACGATTTGGTTCGGCAAACGGTCGCTGACGCGACCGTTGCCACGATGAAAGAGGTGGAGGTTTTAGTAAAAGGTTTCCTGATCGGGAGAGGCTGCTCAGCCACATGTGGCTTGAACAAGAACACTACCACGGGACTCTTCGTTCGGTTCAATTCGGACCATGGCTCGGAATACTCTCCAGCCCCCATACCTTCTCCTCCAAAAGATTCTCAGGCTGTAGTCCCTGAGTCCTCCATCCCCCCCACCAAGGACGACTCGGCTGCTGCCACGGTTGAGGCCAGCTCTTGGTCCGTTACTCCTCCCCTCGCTAGGGCTGTTCAAAGCAAGATGCCCAGTTTTTTCCGCCAGGCCCACAATACCGGGACCGGCTCCTCGACTCCCTCCTTTCTGGCAGGAATGTCTTCAGGTGAAAGGGCTCTTTACGAAACACCGAAGTTCAAACTGGATGACCCTAATGACGAGGATTACAACCCTCCTGCCTCTGGAACGCGTCGCCGGACACGGTCGGCATCTCCCATTAAGCGATCTGCTGCTCCTCTCCTTGGTCCCCAATTTTTAAGGGCTATCAATGTTGATGAGGGACGGAAAAAACAGATTGTCCCCGCTCTTCCCGGCCTACCCCTGGGTGTTCACCATGGGCGGCTGGCCATCCCCCCACCTGTGATGCTCCCATCAACAATTGAAGCCACACCCCCTTCTCCATCCCCTCTAATGACTGAGGATGTCCTACCCACCTCTGAGGTACTGGCCAGGGACACACCTATGGAACTGGATGAAGGACGCAACTCGGAAGCGACCGGTTTGGGCGACAGCGTACACACCCCTTCACCAGCCATGGAGTCATCACCTCCGCCTGTTACTGGACGTTGGATGTCACCTCCAGGAAGCCAACTGGAGGGCCCCTTGGAAAACCCCAGTAATAATTCAACCCCATTGGAAGTCCAGCTCCCAGAAACCCAATTTGAGGACGCCGACATGGTAGTGGCCCAGGCAGACTCGATCATAGCAGGTGTCTGTGAGATGCTGGATGCTGGTAGGACCCCCTCTCCTGGACCCCGCTCAGGTAGTATAATCGGATCCATGTTGGAAGGTCTGGAGGACATCCGGTCTGGTAATACTCAACCCCTCCTCTCCTCGGAGTCGGGGTCGATTGAGGACGATACAATACAGGATGTACGGACTTGGATGAACAGTGGCCCCACCTTCGATGACGATGGTCCAAGGAACGGGATAAACTATTGGAGTCGAGTTCATGTTTTGGAACGAGCAGTAAAAGCACTGACCGACATTGTGGGCAGGCAAGGAGAGGAAATTGAAGCCCTTCAGGTAAAATCGTCCCCCCGCCGCTGCACACCCCCTGCTATACCTCGCAGCACCTCCGTTGTTTCTTCGGAACCGACTACACCATCCCCTACCCCTGGGAGAAAGGAAGCCTATACGGAGGCTCCTGCTGCTAAAGCCTCTTTCACAGAGGTAGTAAAACGAATGGCATACGTGCCCAAACCCCCCGCGGGCCCGCAGAAACGGGTTCATCCTGCCAGGCCCACATCAGCGGCCTCATCCCACCAGTCCAGCAGCAGCAGCAGCTCCTCCAGTGAAGGAGGGGTAGTCTTGCGAGTAGCCCGGGGAGAAAAAGGCAAGGCTGTTCACTGGGAAGAGGAAGAGGAAGAGGAGGAGGATAAGAAGAAAGAACGAAGGAAGCGGGGCAGGCGCCTGAGTGGTGCTGCTAGAAGGAGAAGAAAGGCTGCCAGAGAATCTGGTGATGAAAGGGAGGCGGCGCCCCCCCTACCAAGACCCAGGGAAAGGCTGATAAACAGGAATCAGGCCCCAAAGCTACGACACCTGTTGCCACAACGGCTCAATCTGGGCCGGCAGCACTGGCTGGTGTCAAGATAGGTACGGCTCAGGCACGACCGGAATACAGACGGGTACCAATGGGACCCCCGGACCCACTGAACTCGGTACCACCACCACCGCGCTCATCGCCAACCCCGAATGCTAGGGGAATGCACATCACCATGCGATTCGCCACCCGAAAGAAGGTTGCCCTGCCAGAGGGCGTCGACATCGAGACAATCCGAAATCGGATCAATGTGACCTTTTCCAATTAGGGAAAGATTCGGGGAAATGCTCCTTATATTTGCGCAGGGCATGTCCGGCCGGAAATTGGATGTATCTTCCTGACCTTGGCAGCATACTCCGTGACAGAGCTAGGTAACAGGTTGGACAAGGCCAGGCTCGACTTACTTAGGGAATTGTCACTCCCGGAGTTCGAATTCCAGAGGAGCCTGGAAAAGGTGAAGATTTTTGTTTCTGGTGTTCCGCTTGCTGACACAGGATGAGGATCGATTTGGAGGGTGGAAGGATGGACTGGAAGCACGGCCTTCGATGGCCTTCGCACTGACTTGGAGCAATCCAATACTGGTGTAGTCACTGTGTCCCGGCCCGACATTATGGGATCCATACATGCCATGAGACTGGCCAATGCCACAAGTTGCGGCATCTGCTTCGTGGTGGAGAATAATGAGGCCATCAAGGAAAG